CTTATTTACAGAAGAAACCCAATTCTGAGGCACACCAGTGGAGCCCTGTATGCCCCACTCCTGCCTCTGCCGTACGGAGTCAGTACCCCAGGTGAGTGGTGCCATGGCCCAAGTCCCTGTGATGGGGTCTCACTTGATAGGGACCTAGGAGTCTTCAGAGGACTAGCCCCTAGCCCCTCATTTTTCAAAGGATGAAGATGAAACAAGAAGCGGAGCAGACTGATACCCAGGGTAGAGGGGGAGGGAAGCCAGCACAGAAAGTAAAGACCCCCTTTGACTGACTACCTTCTCTTTGGGTCTCATTCTGACTACCGATGTCCCTTCACTCACGAGCTTTTACACTCTCTCTCTTGTTCTTTCATTATGCTCTCAACACCATGACAGACTTCCTTTACAAGTGGTGGAAAAGCCACCACCTCAGGAGAATGTGCTGGCCTCATTTAGCTACACTCCTCCCCAAAAGGGTATAAAGACAGGCCCAGGTTCTCAAGCTAGAGGAATAAGGGGAGCTGGGAGAAGAACCTTGGTTTTCTGACTCTCAGTCCAGCCTGTTTTCTGGCCCACAGTGATGACTCTTAGTACCTAATTACAGAATCCATGGTTTGACTCTGTGTCCTTTAGTCTATCCCTCCAAGTTACTAGGGCTTCCCGGTGGCTCAGATGGTAAAGAATCCACCTGCAATGTGGGAGACTTGGGTTTGATCCCTGGGTCTCGAAGATCCCCTGGAGAAGGGAACGGCTACCCACTCCAGTATTCTTGCCTGGAGAATTCTATGGACAGAGGAGCCTGGCAGGCTACGGTCCATGGGGGAAGCAAAGAGTTACTACATGGAGAAGCAAAGTTACACGACTGAGCGACTAACACTTTTTCACAAGTTACTAACTTGAAGCCTAGCCTTAGTGGGTCTAGAGGGGGAGATTCCTGGGAGGCAGAGGTTGAATTTGGCTCCGTGGGGACCATTGCTTTCCCTTCACTCTTCCTGTCCTTCGCACTCTCCCCCTCCTTGCCACCCCTGTCCCCTTGTACTCCCTCTGACCTTCCGGCGGTTCACACCTTCCTCCCAGGGCCCATCTTTGTTTCCCTTCTCCAAACCGTCCCTCCGCCCCCACCCTCCCTCAGGTCCCGGCTACGCGCCCTTGCGCGAGGAGGCCGTGAGGCTGTTCCTGGCGCTGCAGGCCCTGGAGGGGGCGCGGCGCCCCGGGCCCCTGATGCAGGGTGTGCTCCAGACCTGCCGGGACTTGCCCGCGCTCCGAGACGAACTCTTCCTGCAGCTGGCTAAGCAGACCTCGGGCCCCGCGGGGCCCCCCGGGCCACCAGCTACCCAAGACCCCGCGACCCTGCGGTACTGGCAGCTCCTCACTTGCATGAGCTGCACTTTCCGGCCGGGGGGAGCCGTACGGGGACACCTCCTCGGGCATCTGGAGAGGTGAGAGGGGAGGCGTGGGGGTAACGCCAAGGCGAGGGAGCGGAGGGAGCTGGGAAAGAATGGCAGGCCATTCCAAAGGGTTTGGCAGATGGAGAACTTGGACCCAGAGAAAGGAAGGGACTTGCCCAAGGTCAGGGCCGCTGCTCCGGAGTGCAGTGCCTTTGTGGGAATCACAAGTTCATACCCCACTTGCAGGCGGAGGAATTATAAAAAAAAGGCTCCCACTTTGGGCAGAAGAATTATTAAAAGGCTGTTTTTCCTCGGGGCTGATGCAGTCCAGTGCCAGGACTTTAAGGTTGGAAGGCAGAATGCAGCTGGAGTTTGGATTTCAACCCAAAGGAGGAGCATGGAAATTTTGGGAAGTGGGAGGGGGCAGATAGGCTGCCCAGGGCCTTAGAAAGTAATTCAGCTCCTTACAGAGCATGGGGGTGGGGTGGTGTTTAGATTCAGAACAGCTGGTGGTGCTGCCTTCAAGGAACTTAGAGTTGGAGGGGAGGGAATCGGGCAAGGTGAAATAAACTCTGAGCTAAAAAGGCAATAGGGAGGAAGAGAAGAAAAGTCCTGGGAGCACTAACCCTCCAGTTCTCCCTAATCCAGGACTGAACAGGCGCTCCCGGACTCGGAAGTGGCGGAATATGCGCGCTTCATACGGAGAGCGCTGGGCCGGACGCGCGGCCGGGAGCTAGTGCCATCGCTGGCCGAGATTTCCGCGCTGAGCCGACGGCAGGAGTTGTTGTGCACCGTGCACTGTCCGGGGGCTGGTGCCTGCCCTGTGGCCATAGACTCCCACACCACGGCGGGAGAGGTAAGACCAGAGAGAACCCCAGAAACCGAAGCCTCCCAGCATCCAGTGCCTGGTGTGCCTGGACCCCAGGTTTGCCTGAGTCTGAGAGTCATCAGTTGGGTAAGGGCTGCGTGTGGCGGGACTAAGAAACCTGAAAGATGCCTCCAGTTGAACCCTTCCAGAAGTACTGGCAGGCCCCCTGCGCGGTCTGAGCCTGACTTTCCTCTTATGCTCCCTGCCTTCCAGGTGGCTCGAGAGCTGGTGGGGCGGCTGGGCTTGACCCGGAGCCGTAACACATTCGCGCTGTACGAGCAGCGAGGGGCGCAGGAGCGAGCCCTGGCCGGGGGGACTCTCGTGGCCGACGTGCTCACCAGGTTTGAGAAGTAAATGTCCAGTCCCAGCCCTGCTCTCCGTTAGCCCATTGGCCTCTCCGCTCCGATCCATCCCTAAGTAAACGTTTACCGAGCGGTGGCCTCCGCACGGTGAAGTTCACAGGCGGATTCCTGCCCGCCGGCGGTTTGCAGTCGGGCTTTGAGGCTCGCCTCCGCGGTCCACTCCCCCCGGGCAGGCCCCGCCCCCAAACATCTGGCCTCGCCTCTTTCCCCTGGGCGGAGCCTTCGGGGCCCTGCTACCCGGCCGTATCTCTCCCTTCTTTTTTCTGCAGCTTGGCGACGGAGGAAGCTGGGCTGGAGGACCCACCGGACACCGGTTGGAGACTGTGTCTGCGTCTTCACGGGCCTCTGCACCCTGAGGGGCTATCCCCAGACGGTCACGAACTGCCCTTCCTCTTTGAGCAAGTGAGGCTCTCCCGCACTCATGCCCGGGGGAGATCCCCCTAGCCTGAACCCCTTCCTTTCTGGGCCTTCGCTTTTCGTCGTTATGACAACCCCGGGGGAGGCGGTGCTCCAACCCAGACCCACAGTTCCGCTCCCCGAGGTGTCTTCGCGACGGTACCCGCGACTCCTGTACTGATGCCCGCTGCCTCCCCGTAGGCTCACGCTCTGCTGCTGCGCGGCCGGCCACCCCCGCCCGACGACACGCTGCGCGCCTTGGCGGCGCTGCGGCTGCAGAGCCTGCACCGGGACTTCTCCCCGCGGGCGCCTCTGCCGCGCCTGGATCGCTTGCTCCCCACCCCGGCCCGGCCGCGTGAAGACCCTCCCCGCCCGCTGCCCAGGCCTCCCCACTCCGCCGCCCTGCTGGCCGGGGCTATCTGGAGCCCGAGCCTGGCCAAGAGGCGGGCGGAGCGGGCCCGGCACGGCGGGGCCAGCCGCACCGCGGGAAGCGTGGCCCGCGAGGGAGGAGGTGGCGCCGGCAGGGCGGCTGCTGTGCTGGGAGGCTGGAAGCGGCTACGGGGCATGGGCCGAGCTGAGGCCATGGCTGCCTACCTGGCTCTGGCGGCGCAGTGTCCAGGGTTCGGCGCTGCTCGGTATGACGTTCTGGAGCTGAGCACGGTGAGGGGGAGAAGGGAGAGGGGGACTCTGGTGGCCCAAGCCCCACACCTTTGCCCCAGAGCCACAGGCCCCCGTTGTGGGTCACTGTGCTCCCTACACCCAGCACAGCTGCCCATCTCAAAGCCCAGGAGTCACTGTCCCTGACGCCCTCACTCTCTGGAGCTGTGGATCATGTTGGGGGGGGGGGACCAGGAAACGTCTTGCTCACAGCCATCTCCCTCCACCAAAAATAATGCAGCAGGGTCCCCTCTTTCCACCCTGACTCTGCCTGTCTGTCCACATCCGCAGGAGCCTGGTGGGGGCGCTCCACAGAAGCTATGCCTGGGCCTGGGAGCCAAGGCCATGTCCCTCTCGCGGCCCGGTGAGACAGAGCCCATCCACAGCGTCAGCTATGGCCGCGTGGCCGCCTGCCAGCTAATGGGCCCCCACACCCTGGCCTTGAGGGTGGGAGAGAGCCAGCTCCTCCTGCAGAGTCCCCAGGTGAGTGGGAAGAGGGTGTCAAAGGAGGAAGGGAGGGAGAGGGTGTGAAGAAACATTTATGAAACATTGAGCATGGGCCAGGTACAGCTCTAGACCTTAGGGATCATGCAGTGATCAAAGATAAGCTCAAGGAGCTTGAGTTAGTACCGGCCATCAGACACTAAACAAGGAATCAAAGACTGTTAAAGATAGTGACAAATGCTATGAAGAAAAGGGTAGTGAGAGACGAAGTGACTGGAGGGGATCAAAACATTAGGTAGGATGGTCAGGAAAAGCTACTCAACACCACCCAAAGGGAGATCCTGGGACACAGCTTTCCAGGCAGAGGGACCTGCCAGTGCAAAGGTTCTGAGAGGAGACTCGCCTTAGGATAATCGAGGAGCAGAAGTGTGATAGGCACAGAGTGAAGGAGAGTGGTGATGAGGAAGGAAAAGTTGAGGAGGGCAGCTCACAAGGCCTTGGGAAGGAACCTGGGTGGAGGATGAGACAAAGGAGAACTCATTGGCCCCTTTTGTACTCTGACCTCTGCCCTCTCTTAGGTGGAAGAGATCGTGCAGCTGGTGAATGCCTACTTGGCCAACCCCTCCCCCGAGAGGCCCAGCAGCAGCCCTCCTCCATGCCAAGACCTGCCAGACACCTCCCCTCCCAGCCAGCACCCGGGCCTGGACGAGCCCCAGGGACAGTCTGGCTGTTTGGGGCAGCTGCAGGACTGAGCTTGCCAAGAGGTCACGACCTCCCTCTTGCCTCCAGCCTGGATCTGGACTACTCTGAGATTTCAGGAAACCATGGACCCTTTTGGCCCTGCAGGGACAGGGCATACCCCACATGCAAGGGCTGCAATGAGTGCAGACAATTTTCTAGTTTGTTTCTTAATTTATTTGTAGAAGAGAAGCAAAAAAAAAAAAAAATCCTTATTTACACAAACCCTTCCTGTGGGAGTGTTGTCAGTGGGACAAGTTGGAGCCCCAGAGCTCAGAGCTCCACCCCCAGGGACGCCCACACTCCCAGGCTTTTACCAGCACTGAGAGGAGTCTGAACACCGCAGGGCTCCACCCTCCTTGACCTTCTAGATTTAACCTCCTCCTGGCCAGTATGCTGCCCTAGGGTGGTGGGTGGGGCAGACAAGAGGGCAGTTTTGGAAGCTGGCAATTACTCATCCTTCTTCCATTGAGTGGCATGGGGGTGGCCTCTCGGCGTCCCTGAGGCCCGAGGGCAGTGAGTCACCAGGACTGGCACTACCCAGTCCTACCCTGGTGTCCAGCTTCTGGGTCTTAGTCGGGACCATCTTTAATGTGCCTACTGCTTTGGGTCTGGAACAGAAGAAGCCTGGAGCAGGATCAGACCCAAGAACTTCTCTGGCAGACAATGAATTGATCGGGATGGGCTCAACTTTACTCCTGAGCTGTTACTGCTTTATCAGATCAAGCTGAATTGGGTTAACTCCTGAGGATCTAAATGCCTTGGGCCTGGGAATCCAGAGTCTTGGCTTTCTTGACTTGCTCTGAATGCTGCAGGCCTTCTTTTAGCAGCCTCCACAGCCTCTGCCCTGAGTGGAGGAGGCTGGGGCAATATGAGCAATGTGTCTCCACCCTCGGGCAGAACCTTAGGCACAGAGGAGACAGCAGACATCAGTAATGCTCTGTAGTCTTGAGAGTAGGACTGGCTCCAGTAAAACAGCCTGGTTCTAGGCAGGGATGCTCATGGAAACAATGGACACAGATCGGGACCACCTGGAAAGACTAGAGCAGGTAAAGCCTACCCTACCAACACATGCCTGGGAACTGTGAGGCACCACAGAGATCCTTTCATTGTCCCCCATATTCAGCTACCAAGGCCTGACAGTTATTCACAGACCAAGGCCTGACTATATTCACAACTAGTGAAGCTTTATTAGAGCTAAATAAGCATATCAAGGGTGATGGCATCAAAAGGAAGAAGCAAGGCCCACTCTTGGGTTGGTGAAGAATCTAGAACCTTGTTGGTGAGGGGAATTTGGACCAGAGGAACCAAGTATGATGGGTCTGTGCTTACTGTCCAGAGGGTGCAGTAGGGAGGACTCACTGCTCCTGGGTGCCCCAGGAGATGTAGTCTGGTCGAGTGGCTGCATGGTACTCATCAATCAGCTCCTGTACAACTTCCCTGGACCTGTCCAGCTCATCAAAGTTCTCCTTAAAGATGTCCTCCTTCCGGAACTGTTCCAGGAAGGCCTCCCGCTTCCGCAGCTTGTCATACTGCTGGCAGGAACTTTCAAAGAGCTGAAAGAGATAAAAGTCTCCAGGATGGGAGCCAGGGTGAGACAGGGGGTTGGACTGGATCTGGGGGAGAATGATGAAGGTGGAAAAGAGGGGCCAAAGCAGACCAGGCAGCCAGGCTCACCGAGGAGATGCTGGTGTGGTTGGCCATCATGAGCCCACTGACCCTGTGCGCAGAAGGCAGGTAGGGTGACTTCCTAGATAGGGCCACCTGGATGCTGGCGGGGCCCCAGGGGATAAAGTTGGCCAACTTCCGTTCCCGGATCCTCTGCAAGCTCTTGTGGACCTGGGGTGGGCACAGGAATGGTGGTGGTAGCCTCTCCTTCCCCTGTGGGCTCCGGAGGTAGAATGAACGGGCCTCACCTACCTGGGTGGGGTCCACCTCCCCCTGGATGATGTTGAGGATGGCGATGTAGCAGTGGTTGGTCTGGCGATCCCGACCTGTGGACACCATCACGTTCTTGGGCTGCAGCAGTCGTCTCATGACATCCAGGACTGTGGTCTTTCTCACGCTGGCCACCTGAGGGGAGAGGGGCCACAGGGCAGCCCGGTACTCAGGGCACAGTCAAGAGACGCATGGACAGAGAGCACGAGGTGATGCACAGCCCCATCAGACACGGGGCAGCCTGGTCTCTCTGGGGAATGTCCTTAGATTCAGGTCCTCACTGAGGGATCACAGATCTCAGTCCCCCAGAGCTCAGCTAACTCATGTCCTTGTGCAGGAGCATCAGCAGACCCCATACAGCCCCTGCCCTGCAGGGCGCCACAGGCAGGGGGAGAGGAGAGCGAGTCAGCCAGGAAGCAGGGCCTCCGGGTGCAGCCGAGAGAAGGGAAAGGCTGGTCAGGGCCTGCTGGGCCCAAGGGCTACTCTTACCGACTGGTCCGTGGTGAGGGGGGTGTAACCCGTCATGAGGAAGTGGAGCCGTGGCGTGGGAATGAGCGAGGCGATGAGGCCGATGAGGTCGTTGTTCATGTAGCCGGGGTAGCGCAGGGTGGTGGTGCTGGCTGACATGATGGTGGACACCTGGGGACAGGGTGCCGGGTCACAGGCCTTGTCCTGGGGGCCTCTCTTCCTTAGATGGTGCTTCGGGAAGGAGGGAGTCCAGGAGTGGGGGGCTCACCAGCTGGTTGATCTGGGAGAACGAGGGATTCTGAATGTGCAGGCGGTCTGTGGCGATCCGGTTCAGGGCCGTGTTGTCCAGCACCACCTGGGGGGACAGAAGAGGGTGACAGCACCTTTTTGAGGAGAAAGAGGGCAGAGAAATAGGTTATTAGCTTAGTCCCCCTCTACACTCCAAAACTAGGAAGCAAGTATGTTCATTTAAAGGGCAAGTACTGTCTCTGGGGCATCAGGAGACACTTATTCTACCATCCAGTGCATGAGAGAAATATTTGACTGTCCAACATGTGCCATGCATGGTACCTGGCTCTGGAGAGACCATAGAGAGTAAAACAGGCATGGTCTTCCCCCTCACCAGGTCTATAATCTAGAGCAGAGGTCCCCAACTTAACCAGTTTCGTGGAAGTACGATTTTTCCGTGGACCGGGGTAGGAGTGGGGTTTCAGGATGATTCAAGTGCATTACATTTATTGTGCAGTTTATTTCTATTATTATTACATCAGCTTCACCTCAGATCATCAGGCATTAGATCCCAGAGGTTGGGGACCCCTGGTCTAGAGAAGGGAGAGTGGCATTGAATATAAAACAACAGAAAAGTACAGCTACGCCTGAAATAAGCACAAAGGAATTTGACCTTGTCTGGGTGGTCAGGGAAGGTTTTGCTAAGAAAGTAACCATTAGGCTGAGAATGGAAACATGAGTAGGTATTAAATAGGCTAAGTGGAGACATGTGGGATGGGGGTGTTACTCTGTTGAGAGTCCTGCTACCTAAAGGAACTATGAGAAGCTTGGGGTCAGGTTCTTATTTCATACTTTGGGCCACCAGGTATGGCTTTGTTGGTTGTCTGTTCTCTGGGCAAGGGCTTGGGAAGGGCAGAGTGTAGGTGTCTCATTGGTTTGGGGAGGTAGGCCAAAGGCCCCACTTCCTCCTTCCATGCTCACCACACAGTCGGCATTCTGGGTCAGCCTCTTGAGTGTGAGCAGTGAGTTGTAGGGCTGGACCACCACATCGCTCATCTCGTCCTGGTTGGGAAACACTGAATATGTCTGTACCAGCTTCTTGGGGTACCTGGGGGTGAGGAAGAGGGAAACGGGAAGGTAGCAGAGTGAATTGCAAGGACTCTCATCACTGCCCCTCTTTGTCTTCTCCAGGGATAACGGGGGCCATTCCTTTCCAAGTGCCACCAAGGTCTTAAACAAAAGGAGTGAGGGCAGAACTGAGTCTTTAGAGCCCAGAAGCCAAAAAAGATAAACCTGAAGCATCAAACCTCCCTCCCTCCTGGATCCTCTCCCCCACCTATGCAGACCCCCTGTTTCCTGGGAGTTATTGCTTCCAAGATGTTCCCTGGGAGGCCAGGCTCTGTTCCTACTTATAACTCAAGGGCGGTAGGAATAGGGCTTTCAGTCCAAAGGAAAAAAGTGACAAAAGGAAAGACATTACCCAGGGAAACAGAGCTAATGCCCTCTTCCCAAACACAGGCTTACCTGTCATTCAATCGCTCCAAGAGGTAGGAGCCCAGGCCAGAACCGGTCCCCCCAGCGATGGAATGACACAGCACAAAGCCCTGCAGGGGGAGGAATGGAGAGGCAGTCTCCAGGGATCTGGGGGAGAGGCTTCAGGCTTGTCTCATGGCCCACTCCCAAACCACTCAAGTCTCAGGGCTTCCTGTATATCCATCCAGCGTGAGGCTCCTTGAGAAGGAAGGAGCTGATGCCATCCAGATTAGGATCTTCTTGAGGACACAGACTGTACCTTATTTACTTCACCATCTCACATCTGATACTTAATGAAAGAGTTATGAATTGAATTGCCCCATCACACATCTGATCAGGCTCTTTGTGACCCCATGGACGGTAGCCCATCAGGATCCTCTGTCCATGGAATTTTCCAGGCAACAATACTGAAATGGGTTGCCATTCCTTTCTCCAGGGATCTTCACGACCCAGGGATTTGAACCCAGGTCTCCTGCATTGCAGGCTGATTCCTTATCCTGAGCCACCAGGGAGGCTACCTCCTGACCTTCCCCAGCACTTCTCAGCTTCCTCCCTCCTCTCCCCTAGAGGGGCAGAACCTCACCTCTAGGCTGTCACTTCCATCTGCTTCTCGGTCTATGATGTCAAAGATGTCTTCATGGATTTTCTCACCCTGTATAGAGACATGAGGAAGGCAGAAACATCTATAGAGACGTGAGGATGATGTTCCTGGAGAGCATTTCTTTTCAGCACCAGTAACTCTACCTTGGGACACTGCTGATGCTTCAAGCAGAGCCCCAACTGTGGCCCTCACCCCAGAAATGCTACTTTGCATAAACTTCTCTGTGTCTGTTCCTCTTATCAGGGTAGTCCCCTGTCTCTTACTGTCAGTATGGTCTAATCACCAGACTGCTTGTGCTTGCCTTACCCCAGGAAGGGAACATCAAGAATCTCTGGGATGGCCACCTGGATACCTGGGAGAATCCGCTGGCCCAGTTGTTGCCAGCTCCTCCTCCATGCTCCGACAGGTAGATGTTCTCTGGGTTGTAGAGCTTGGCATAGGGGGAGTTGAGGATGGAGTGGATCACCCTGGGCTCCAGGTCCAGCAGCACTGCCCTCGGGATGTAGTGCTCATCGTCGGCCTGTCAAAAGGAGTCCAGGATGGGCCCAATCAGCTAGGGCCTGCCCAGTCCTCCCAACTCTGGCTCCTGCCTGCCCTCCTCCTTCAGACCAGCTGCCCTGGCTCCTCTGCCCAGTGGGTTTCCCAGTACCCAAGCCCTTCCCTTCAGGCCTCCTGGGCCATTGCCAACCCTGGCTAAGTCTCTGGCAGCACCTGGTAGAAAAAGACGTCCTTGCGATCAGTGCCCTCGGTGGCGAACTCCTCCACGATTCCCTCGGGGCTGATACCATGCTCGGCACACAGCTGTTTCCAGAACTCGAACCCAACTGGGGGATGGGGAGAGACGCCTGGGTCTGCTAAAGCCCTCTAGCAGAGGGCTCTCGGGAGCCCAGGGTGAGGCTCAGACAGTCTCACACATTCAAGGGTGGGCCCAAGACGCCCGGCTCTGGGAGCCGTGACAGCTCAGGATTAGAGGCATGTCTCTCGTTCTGGGTGTCTGAGACCTGGTCCATCATGCGCAGTAGGGCAGGGGGTTTATGGAAGGGAAGCGGGGCGGGGGTGGGGTGGTGGTGCTGGAGGATGCCAAGCACTCGGGTGGGACCCGAAGGGGCAGAACCGGAGACTAGCTGGGCCCGGCTCTCGTTCGCTCACTCTGGTTGCCGCACTGGCCCAGCTGCAGGGTGATGATCTCCCGGGGCATCGCTCTTCAGATGAGGCCGCGCCAGCCTGGCCAGGCCCGGCGGGAGTCGCGGCAGGGACAAATGCCTGGCAGCTGGGCGCGCAGGACGTGGGGAGCGCGCGCTCTCTTCTGCTTTTGACGCGGATGCTCGGTCTGCGCGTGTGCAGTGCGGGCCTCCTCTCGGCCGGCGGCCCGGGAGCCCAACCTGGGCATCATTTTCCCCCACAGCAGTTGCAGCTGGAATTCCGCACAGGCGCGGAGTGAGGCCACGCCCCCTCCTGCCCACCCGCCCCAGCTCTGCGCCTGCGCAGTGAGACGCGCCGGGCAGCGGGGAATAACCGGGTGTGGGGGAAGGGAAGTGAGGGAGGGGCCGTCCAGGTGTCTGGAATCACCGGCGCTCTGCTTTATAGGTAGGTGAGCGGCTCTGCCTGCTCTGCTAGGTAGAGGGGCTGAATTCAAGTCAATTTTCTTCTTTTAAATTTCTATTTTTAAATTATATGTATCTAACAAAATTTACCATTTTAACCATTTTTAATTACAATTTTGTGAAGTTAAGTACATACATATTGTTCTGTAACGGTCTCCAGCAGTCACCTCCAGAACTTTGGCACCTTCCCAAGCTCCTACCTGTTGAACAGTAACCCCGCCCTTATCACCATTCTTTCTGTCTCAGTGAATTTGACTAAGTGCCTCATACCAAGTGGGATAACACAGTATTTGTCCTTTTGTGACTGGCTTGTTTCACTTAGGTAATGTTCTCAAGGTTACTCCATCTTGAAACATATATCATAATTTTATTCCTTGCTAAGGCTATATAATATTCCATTGTATGCATATACCACATTTTGTGTTTATCAATCCATCTGTCAATGGACATTGGCATGCTTCTACTTAATGCTGCTAATGAACATGGGTGTCTGAATACCTTGTTTGAGTGCCTGTTTTCAATTCTTCTGGGTATATGCCCAGAAGCAGAATTGCTAGATCATGGCAGGGTTGTGTTTCCTTTATTTGAGGACTTTCCATACTATTTCTCACAGTGGCTGCACCATTTCACATTCCCACAGCAACACACATGACTTCCAGTTTCTCCACGTCTTTATCAACACTTGTTACTTAAAAAAAAAAAAAAAAGCCATCTTAATGAATGTGAGGTGGTATCTCATTGTGGTTTCTATTTTATTTTAAATTTCAAAAAGTTTTAAACATGCAAGCATGATTTTGAATTTTTACTATATATTTTTTATTTTGAAATTTTACATAAATGGTATCAGAGTGTAATATCCTTTTGTATCTTGCTATTTTCACCCTACTTTAGCTTTAGTGATTTAGCTATGTTGAGACGTGTAGATTCATTTCGTTCCTTTTAACTGCTTCATAGTATTTAATTGGATGGATAAAAACAGTTTATTCTATTTCCACACAGGGGTGATTTGATTATTTCCACTTATTTGCTGTTACATCAAATGCCTGCAGGAGTTATCCACTTGTGAATGTGAAGAAAAATATCTTTACCAAGAGCTTGTGCAGCTTCAACTTTACCAGGTTTGGCATATTTTTTCCTAGATGGTTGTTACCAACTTATACTTTTAACCAGCAATAGCATTCTCATTTCCCTATACTCAGTTTCACACTTGGGTTATCAGATCTTCATTTTTGTCAGCTCCAGGTAACTCATAGCTGTAACTTCCAGTCAGGATCACAATCAAAGCTGATTCAATTTTCTCTTGTTACTGACCCCTGGGAATTGCCTGTTCATTTCCTTTGCCCATTTTTTTTTTTTTTTCCTATTGGGTTGTTTCTCTTAATTCAAGATATTCTACGAATTTTTTCTTGGTTTTATGGATTGAAAATATTATGGGGTAATTGAAGGATTTTTTTTTTTTTTTTACAAAATATCTGACAAGTACTTTTCAAAATTGTGAAGATCATGAGAATAGAAGAGGGAAAAGAGAAGGAAGTTTCTTTAATGCCACAGCCAGGAAGAGTCTAAAGAGACACGAGAAGTCTATAATGTGGTAGTAATATATTGAATGGGATTCTGGAGCAGAAAAAAAGACATTTAGTAAAAATAAAGGAAATAGGAATAAAAAAAAAAAAAGAAAAGAAAATATTATGGGTCTATGGTTTGTCTTTACCCTTTGTATATGATGTCTTTTGCCTCGGAGACGATTTTCATTTTAATGTAGACAAAGTTACCCATCTCTTCAGTTATGATTTGCACGTTTTATTCCTTCTTAAAGGACCTGCCTCTTCTCCCACTATTTTAAAGTTGTCCTTCGCTGTTTTCCTCCCAAAGCCCAATAGTAGTTTTGCTTGTTTCTTGTAGGTCTTTAGTGCATCTGGAACTTATTTGGAGGCCTGTAAGATAGGGATCTACTTTATCTTTTCCATATGGATGGCCAATTGTCTCCGAACCAATTATTGTAGAGTCGGTGCAGTCCGGCCTCTCCCCCGCCCCCAACATTCCAAGCCCGGGCTCCGACTTGGGCTGGCTTCTGGCCGCTCTTCCGCTCGATTGGGCTGTGGGTCTGTCCCCGTCTGCCGAGCTTTTTCTGGGAGCCACTGCAGAGACTCTGATGAGAGCACCACGGCCAAGAGTCATGCTCAGACGAGGATTTTTTTTTTTTTTTTTTTTTTTTTTTTTTTTAGGTTTTGTTTTCTCTCTCTCTCTTTTTTTAAAGGAGAACTCGGCCGCCTTCCAGCCCCGGCCGCCAAGAATCTTCTGGTCTTTAGAAGGCTCTGGCTCGCCCCACGCCTGTCCTCTCCCGGGCTCAGTTTCCCTCCCCTAACCGTACAGGGCCTCCCCGCCTGCCCCCGCCCTGCCGTCGGAAGAGTTTGAGTGCCCTCCCAGAGAATCCGCAAGCCGGCCGGCCGGCCTCTTCTGGGAGGATCTGGCTGCTTCCTTTGAAGTTTGAGGGTGGGGTCGGAGCGCCTCCGTTAGCCTTGAATCTCCCCTCCCGCGACGGACCGCTCCTTAGGGCTGCCTGTCTTCAGAGGCTTTGCCAGGCCCCTGTCAGAATCTGCCCAGGTGAAGGGGATGGCTTCGGAGGTGACAGTAAACTTGCCAGGCCTCCCGTCCTTTTGAGCCTGGAATGGCTGTTTGCTTCCTTTAAAGTAATAAGCTGTAAGCCCTTTAGGAACACTTGTGAAACGTGGGAATTTAATTGCAGCCTTTTCTTAATTAACAACAGTGCCTTGCTCCTCCTTCTCCCAGAAGCAGGAAAACTTGAAATCTCAATTTATAGGCAAACAGGTTAGAACATGTGAATTTCTCAGAGTTGGAGAAGTTGCAGTGTTAAGTTTTCTCTAAGAAGCCATCTCTGACAAGATTGAGGCTCCTCCTCCTCTGCAGAAATGGGTTGGAAACTGAGGTGCTTGTGTATGTTAGCTGAGCTGAACATAAATCCTCCCAGTTATTAGCAGGGTGTGCTTTCCATTTCTGCTGAGAACTGACCTGTCTGTCGGGGTTAAATGAGATGATGCCTGAGCACTTAGCACAGTGCCTGACTCATAGTCAACACTCAGCAAATATTAGCTGCTGTTGTAAAACAAGATGCAATTGGAATTAAAATATAGGTTGGCTGCTGCTAGAGATGAAAGATCTTATTCGGGGTAAAAACTAAATGACTGATTGTTTTAAATAAATGTGAAAAAACTTAAAACCTAATTACTTTGTGATGATCCTACAGATTCAGTTTCAGAGCAGACTTCTGTTGAGGTTGAACAGAGCGCCCAGGTTCATGGTCCATCTCATAGGACCTGGAGGTCATTACCCACAGCTTGATTATTGAGTGTTGAGTTTAATTTGTTTGGCTCTATGATCTCTGATTCAGGTTATGATAATACAGTGGGATTTGGCCTTCTTTTGTCTGAGGCTTTGCTTTGCGTCTGATAGTACACGTAGCATTTGTCAACTAACAAGTTTGTTAAATGTCCTAAGCCTTTACTGAACATTCCAGATTGAATAAAACTTTAATTTGTTTTGTGGCTGCATCTTGTACCTTGCCGGATCTTAGTTCCCCGACCAGGGATTGAACCCTTAGCCTCAGCAGTGAAAGCGTGGAGTCTTAACCACTGGACCCCCAGGGAATTCCCAGTAAGATATTATTTTAAGAACTTCCCTGGTGGTTGAGTGGCTAAGACTCCTCATTCCCAATGCAGGAGCCTGAGTTTGATCCCTGGTCAGGGAACTAGAGTTCACATGCCGCCACTAAAAAGATTCCGAAATTGAATGATCCCGCGTGCTTTAACGAAGATCAAAGATTCTGCATGGTGCAACAAAGACCCAGCACAGCCAAATAAATCCAAATAAGTAAAAATAAGTAAATATTTTTTTAAAAGACATTATTTGGGAGGCACCTTTGTTTCTGGGCTTTTCTGAAAGCCTGGCCTATGGTAGGCCAGGAATACAGGTATCTTGTGAAGTAGTGGTGTGACTGTGAAAATGAGGGTGTGTCTCAGGGTCTTGAGACTGGGATACTGTGACCCCAGGAAATTTAACTTTCAAAATGATGCCAAGGGCTCTTCCCTTCTGTGGCCATCACTGAAGCGCCGGTGACCAAAATGAAGCTCAATCCCTTTGTGACTTCTGACCGAAGCAAGAATCAAAAAAGGCATTTCAATGCGCCTTCCCACATTCGCAGAAAAATTATGTCTTCTTCTCTTTCTAAAGAGCTAAGACAGAAGTACAATGTTCGATCCATGCCCATCCGAAAGGATGATGAAGTTCAGGTTGTACAAGGGCACTACAAAGGGCAAAAAATTGGCAAAGTGGCCCAGGTTTACAAGAAGAAATACGGCATCTACAATGAACGAGTGCAGCGGGAGAAGGCTGATGGCACAGCTGCCCATGTGGGCATTCACCCCAGCAAGGTGGTTATCACCAGACTACAAAAAGATCCTAGAACGGAAAGCCAAATCTCGCCAAGTAGGAAAGGAAAAGGGCAAATATAAGGAAGAAACAATTGAGAAGATGCAGGAATAAAGTCATCTTATCTACAGCTTTCATTAAAAACTGTTAAAATGAAAGAAAAAAAAAATGATGCCAAGGAAAAAGGTTAAACAATGAAACCAGAGAGCCAAAGCTCTTTATGTGAAAGGAGTTTTACTAAATTCATATTTTGGTTGTGGAATAGAACAAAACTGGCTATTTTGTTCTGTGTTGTTGTCTTAAGGAATAGGAAAAAGAAAATAAACCTTAAAGTAATCCTATTTGCCTATTATTTGCTTATTATTTTATTATGCACCTACATTACACATAGCACACTAATATGAGAAGGGAATAGAGGTATTCATGAACTTGCAGGGGAGATAAATATACAGCAAGGTTGGTGTGTAGAGAGTATAGAGCTGGCTTAACTGGGGGTGGGGGCAGGGAGGTGCCAGGGAATTGGGGAAGACTTTTTGGAGGAGGGCTTCCCTGATAGCTCAGTTGGTAAAGAATCACCTGCAATGCAGGAGACTCTGGTTCAATTCCTGAGTTGGGATATCTGCTGGAGAAGGGATAGGCTACTCACTCCAGTATTCTAGAGCTTCCCGTGTGGCTCAGCTGGTAAAGAATCCACCTGCAATGCAGGAGACCTTCCATCCCTGGGTTGGGAAGGATCCCCTGGAGAAGGGAAAGGCTACCGCCTCCAGTATTCTGGCCTGGAGAATTCCATGGACTGTATTGTCCATGGGGTCACAACGAGTCAGACACGACTGAGCGACTTTCACTTTTGGAGGAGGTTGTCCCTGGCCTGTCTTGAATGTCTAGCAGGAATTAGGCAGGTGGAGAAAATGGGGGTGAGGGAAAGAGAGTGGATACAAATCAGTAAGAAGAACACAAGCTCAGAAAAAAATGGATGGGGGACTTCCCTGGTGGCTCCAGTGGGTCCTTGCTCCCAACACAGGGGTCCCAGGTTTGATCCCTGGTCAGGGAACTAGATCCCACATGCACAAAACTAAGAGTTTGTTGCCCTAATTAAAGATCCTGCTTGCCGAAACTTTAGACCTGACACAGCCAAATAATTTTTTTTTAATATTTTTTAAAAAGGAAAAAAGAGAAAAAAGGAACTTCCCTGGCAATCCAGTGGTTAAGACTGCCTTCCAGTGCAGAGTGTGGGTTCGATCCCTGGTTTGGAGTTAACATCCCATGGTGCCTGTCAGCCAAAAAAAAAACAAAAGATAAAACAAGCAATATTGTAACAAATTCAGTAAAGACTTAAAAATGGTCCACATCAAAAAAAAAAAATCTTAAAAAATAAAAACGGAAAGATCCCTCTGATATCAGTGAGATGGACATGCTTGAATGGAGCAACAGGCAAGCTTTCTAGCCAGGCCTGAAATGAGAAGAGCCCTGCCCAAGCAACAGATTCTAGAGATAGAGTGGAAAGAATCCACAGCAGTTCAAGATGGCTGAATGTGTCATGGGATTAAGGGAGAGCGAAGAGTCTGAGCAGACAGATTTCAATCTTGGGACATTGAGTGAAGGTAGGGCTGTGTATTGAGACATGGGAATTCAGGAGGAGCATGTTTGCAGAGGTTGAGAAGCCCCAGGTTTG